TCTGATTAATGCTACTTGTCCTTCGAATCTTTTGTTTCTAACACGTGGTGACAACTAAGTCTTGCACTTTTGCCTTTTCGTTTTCAGTTTTTACTTTTTTTTAAAAAATTTTACAGGGTAAACTATGGAATTTGTACTTTCCTTTCGGTTTTATAAATTTATTCATCCTGAATTCAGAAAATATAATATTTAATTATTTTAATTTCTTTTTAATTTTGATGTGGTTACTGAAGGTTAATTATTATTAAACTTTTAACGATTTGTTGATATGACCCGAAAAATATATAAAATTAAAATTACATCATTTATATGTAGATAATACATGAATTAAGTTTTGGTCACTTTTCTTTCATATTTGTACACTTTTACTCATCAAATTCAAAAAATATAAGCTTTGGTCACTTATCTTATCATTTTATTAAGTTTTGGCCATTTAGACGTTGAATGTTGTTAGTTTTATGATGTGACTCGTTAGTAAAATGATTTAATTTTTATTTTAACTCCTAAACTTTAGAGAAAATATTAATTATGGGTATTTTTGAAAATTCAAATTAGTTTATGGATAACATTTCAATTTACCTATTTTTTAATATTTTTTCCCTGACCCCTAATATTACTTATCTTCTCATCGCTTCTTCTTCAGACATCTATGCTTCATTGCAATAGACTTCTTGTTTCTAATTATTACTTGTAATTACTTGAAGACAAATTAGGTGAGTTCTCAGTTGGAAGAAAATGTATAAGGAGAAGTAATGAAGATCCTACAAAATGTAAAGAATTTGTCATTAAAACTGTAAAAAGATTCACCACCACGACAATGTCACCGCCTCGAGCTGAGAAAACTAGAGCTTCTTTAATGGCGGCATTATTGATAACACAATACTAGGTTTCCATCTCCGACGTGATGTTGATCAACGAAATCTTCGTGATACGAAAGATTGATAAGAGTGTTTCGTTGCGTCCAAACGTGATCGACATCCACGACATTTACGAAGATCAAACCGACGTTCACTTAGTATTGTAGTTCTACTTTGACGGTGAGTTGTTCAATCGAGTCATTGCGAAAATTAGGTACTTGAAGGCTGGCGCGATTGTAGTGGTGCGACTAATGGTGATTCATAAGGCAAACATTGTTATAAGGGATCTAGAATCGAAAAATTGTTTGTTCTTGAGCAAAAACAAAGATTCGACGTTGAAGATCATGGATTTTGGATTGAGTTCAATGGACGGATTCAATTATCAGGTTGTTTGGGTCTATTGGTTATGCTTCACCGGAGGCGCTTTCTTAAGGAAAAATCACCACGAAGAGTGATATCCGGTTATCGAGTTACTTGGATCCACTGATTTGTCTTCATGTTCCTTGTTGGATTTGGCATTCTGCAATCACAATATTTGGAAATTGAATTTCAGTTTATATAGCTGAGATTACCCAACTTTATTTTATTTCTAAATCACTACAGCAAAATAGAGTTTTAGTGGCGTTTTTTTAGTCTTATAGAGGCGTTTTTAAGCGCCGCTAAAAGTATTTGCGGCGATAGGAAAAACGCTGCAAGAAGCGCCAGCAATACCAACGCCGCTAAAGTTAGCGGCGTTTGAGAACAAAAAAACGCCGCAATAGGTCAATATCTATTACGGCGTTTTTGGAACAAATGCCGCAAAAAGTTATGATATATAGCGGCGTTTCTAGAAAAAACACCGTAAAAGGTCAGATCTATAGCGGCGTTTTTTGATACAAACGCCGTAAAAAAACAGACCTATACTGGCGTTTTTAGAACAAACGCCGCAAAAGGTCAGACCTATAGCGGCGTTTTTGGACACAAACGCTGCAAAAGGTCAGACCTATAACGGCGTTTTTGAACACAAACGCCGCAAAAAGTCAGACCTATAGCGGCGTTTTTGGATACAAACGCCGCTAATTACCTTTCTTTAGCTAATATTAATTGATTTTGCATATTTCATTTCTGCTATACATCACCTAAATTTATATCTAGCTTTATCTAATTAACAACAACCATACATTTTAATTAAGACAAAAAACATAAAGAAAAATACTTAACAACAAAATAAATTAAAGTTTTTTTTTATGGAGAGAGAACCTTAAAAGACATTAAAGTACAAATGAGTTACAATTGAACCTCCAAGTGTAGATATACATGGATTTGTTGTTCGATACATCCTCAATTTCACTAGCGTCATCATCATAACCTCCAGATATGCCTTCTAAAGCTACTTTGTTTCCCACTTCATTGGAATTTGTCATATTCATCGTCTTGACATCTTATTTGAAAGTATCATTTGACAGTGAATGATCTCTCCTCAATAGATTAAAAACAAATGGGAAACGTTGTGCCATTCTATTGAAGAAGCCGTTTTTTGTTGAAGTTTGTTCTTCAAGATTACTGCAATTACAATAATTTAGATGAGACTAAGAAGAAAAGGAAACAACCAGCAGAACTTGCATTCATAACCTACATGTGAGTGATTGAGAACTAAAAAAAGATGTTGCAACAAACAAAAAAAAACAGGAAGTCAGGAACCATGAAAACTAAAATATATTCTACATAAGAATGTAAAAAATGTCATCATAAAGAAAAAATTTAATAATGTATTGGTTGCCATCTTACTTTTAGAAGTTAGAATTCTTACCCCAAGATAACAACTGTTGTGACTAGAAGGTTGGGCTCCAGCTTAGGATCATGAAATACAGATATAATAATATCCTTTGTGTACTCTGTAGTTTGACGGAATGTACGCAAAAAGGCTTGCAAATCGTCATCGCTGATAACATTAGAACTTGCAACAACACATATAACTATGCCATCGAGTTCCTACGTCCAAAAATGAAATGGTCAAAACTTTAATATGACACATGCAACAAATAAAAGGAGTAGGTTGCCCCGTACAAAGAAAATCGGAAAAACATTTATGTTTGAAGTTTGAATCGACAAGGAAATAGGGTGAAGGAGCACTTAAACAACATAAAGTAAAAAGTCATGCATGCACATATATCTCAACATTTCAAATGAAACTGATGTCACATCTGCATTAAAATTTTCTTAATAATACCTTTACCCCTGCACCAATAAAAGGGCAGTCATGCATAGCTTGCGAAATTGAAGTTCTGATGCTGTAACCAGCTCCAAATCTAAGTTTTGCATCTTTGTACTTCCCAAGAATCTGAGCAAGTTTGTATTCTTAGAAAAGTTAAGGAAATACAAAAGAGGGATAAGCAATGAAATCTTATAATTTTGGATCAAGAAAGCATGCATGTCTAAGTCCCTCAAATTTCAACCGATGTCGAGAAAAAAGTGTCAGTAGCATTTAAGAACAGACTATAAAGGGTTGAGTAATAATAAACTCATGGGTAGTAACTAGAACAAAATGCAATGTCAGGTCAACTCACATTTATAACTTCTGAAACTCCAAACACCTTAATATTATCACGAACTGCATCAATGAGTTTTCTTTGCATCTCCTGGAGAATTCCCAGAGCTTACCAATGATATAAGCATGGCATAAAATTCAGAGCCAACTCAACAAGGAAAAAGAAATGCTGACACTTATGACAACTGATATGGCATTTATGGCAAGTATAACAACATTATTGGCAGTTCTCAAAGTCTCAACTAGAGTTGCCAACTCATTTTTTAGCAAGGAGTCGGTGTCAATTTCTGCGAATAAGAAAACCTGTGAGAACTCCCGATATTATAATGGGAGGCTTTTAGAGATCAATATCATAAATGATATAAATAGATTATCAATAAATTTTTTAAAAGAGATGATAAATACTCAACTAACAAAATCTTTATGTCATGCTTACCAATACAAAAATTTGTCATCTCTTGAAGTTTTCCCGTCAAATCCTTGAACTGCAAATTGTGTTACAAAAACTGAGTTAAGAATCAGTTTGAATTGTTGTCATAGTTATAAGCCAATAACCTCAAATTTCAAACTTCCCCCTACCGGTACACCAAAAAAATGACTTGTTACAGGTGGCAGAGAAGTTAATGATTATGCACGAAGAATGTTAGGAAGGTAATTATCAATCTGTTGAGAAATTGAGGACTACAAATCCTCCACCAGTCGCTCATGTCAAACCGGTAATTTCTAGTTATTCAAACCCTTTTGCTTATGTGTTTTGTAGAATAAAATATACTACATGATACTGTCTCTATTGATTTTTGCTTCTGTTTATTCTTGCTTATTTCCTAGGCTTTGATTCAATGATCAGTATAGCTGTGTTGGTATGTTGAAGGTAATATACTATATTCTACTCAAACTAGAAATAATTCATAGATAAAGAGTAGACTAACACCCCGTGTTTTCTAGATTTCAATCACAGAAAAATCAATTCTTTGCCGCAACCAAATTTACCAAATCCAATACAGAAAATCTTTTCATATTGATATGTAGAGCTTTGAATTGACTTTTGAGCTACAAATTACAACTTCAAATTCTTAACCAAAGTAAACAATCAAATTATCCCTGATTATCAAATCAAAATTAATCATAATAATAAAAGAAAATACCATTCTTTCTTCGATTTCAGCTAGTCGACGAATCACAATCCAGAACAGTGACATCAGTGTTCTACCTTCACTCCCATTTGATTTTCCAAACCTTTAAAAATACGCAGAACTTTCACATTGAGTAAACAAAATAAACCCCTAAGCTTGCAGAAATTAGGAAAAAAGACTATAACCGACGCCTCCACCTTGGAAAGAGAGATTCAGAAATAACTTAGAATTTCAAGGATTATATCTTTATATGAAAACAGAAAAGAGACTATAACTGACGCCTCCACCTTTTGAAAAATATTTCTAAAAAGCCCGAGTTTCAGGTTAAAAGAGAAGATAAAAAAATTTGTATTCTATTTCCCTGAATAATAACACATATATGTATAGCGGGATAAGTGCAAATTCAAGAATGATGAAACAGGAGCAGATATATATACAACCATATTAAGAGTATGAGAAGCAAAAAAAAAAAGCCACTCACAATAGAAAACAGATAAAATAGTACTAGAGACCGGGATAAGTGCAGCAGAGTGTACCCTGAGAAAGTGCCCGGCAACTCCTTGATGTTGAGCTCAAGCAGGATGACAGCCTCGCCGCCGCCACCGTACTGTGCAGCGGCAACAGTGAATGCGCACATCCCAGCTCCGAAGGACACCTTCCATCATAAAAAATAAACAAAAATAATTATTATAACTTCAAAATAGTAAAACGATAGCTCCCAATTCAGGAAACAAATGGTTACAGAAATTGTAATCTAGAAAATGGAAACCAAAAAAGGTACCTGGAGAAAGTGAAACGGCGAAGAGGAGAGGTGGATTGGGAGGGGAGAGGTGATCGGGTGGAGGAGGGAGCAGCGGCAGATCTTGAGAATGGGGATTTTGGACCGTTAGTTCTAAAGGCGGATTTGATGGAGGATGATGATCTACTGATGAAGCTCTTGCAAGCTGAAGCCATTAGCAAATAATAAAAGGAGAGAGGAAATCGAAAATCTTTACTAATCGAAGCTCAAACCTTGGAGGAAGTAAAGCGGGAAGACAGGGTTTAGGTATTAGCTCACAGTGCCGTTTTCGATTCGAAGAAGTAAAGCAAAACCCTACTCATTTAATTGTTAACCACAACATTCGCATTATTTACAGTCGTACCCTCTCACCCTACTCATTCAATTGTTAACCACATCATTCGCATTATATACAGTCGTACCACAAATAAAAAAATATTTCTGAAAAGCCCGAGTTTCAGGTTATATGACAATTGCGGCGTTTGGTATTAAAACGCCACTAAAGTACGAGTCTATAGCGGCGTTTGGTATTAAAACGCCACAAAAGTACGTGTCTATAGCGGCGTTTGTGCAAAAACGCCACTAAAGTACGAATTTATAGCGGCGTTTGGTATTAAAAAGCCATAAAAGTAGTGTCTATAGCGGCGTTTGGTATTAAAACGCCATAAAAGTACGTGTCTATAGCGGCGTTTGTGTAAAAATGCCACTAAAGTACGAGTCTATAGCGGCGTTTGGTATTAAAACGCCACAAAAGTACGTGTCTATAGCAGCGTTTGTATAAAAACGCCACTAAAATACTAGTTTATAGCGGCGTTTGTATAAAAACGCCACTACATTACGATTCTTTAGCGGCGTTTTTATACAAACGCCATTAAAGTATAGTATTTTACGGCGTTTGTTCAAAAACGTCGCTATATGTAAATAATTACCGGCGTTTGCAGTAAAAACGCCGCTACATCTGCCGCTGAAAACCATTTTTGCTGTAGTGAATGCGTACTCTCTCATTTTTCTTTGAACTAGTGATGTTATTATTTGTTACTGGAAGTTGAAAATTTAGCATTATTCTTGAAATTAGTATTTTGTCTAAAGTTTAGGAGTTAAAATAAATATTAAACCATTTTACTAACAGGACATGTCATCAAGCTAACAACATTCAACGTCTAAGTGACCAAAACTTAATAAAACTATAACGTAAGTGACATAAACTTAATAAAACAATAACGTAAGTGACCAAAATTAATGTTTTTTGAATCTGGTGAGCAAAAGTGTACAAATATGAAAGAAAAGTAACCAAAAATTAATCTACGTATTATCTACGTGGAAATGATGTAATTTTAATTTTTTTATATTTACTATGTCATATCAACAAACCGTTGAAGGTTTAACAACCATTAAATATCAGTGACCACATCTTAATTAAAACGAAAATAAAGTGATCAAATATTATGTTTTTTGAATTTAGAAAGGAAAATTTTATAAAACTCAAACAAAAGTAACCATAGATGCTAGGGTGCGAGTATTCAATGTTGAAAAATTGAGAGTTATGTTTGAATAGATAATGCCTTGTACTCAACCCAGATTATTCAAAAAAAATCTATATTTTTAAGGGTAAACTCCGCATTTAGTGCCTAAACTATCAGTTTTGGCCCGTTTTAGTACCTAAACTTTAATTTTTTTTTCAAAACCATATCTAACATTTAGTTTTCATTTCATTTGAGTACCCCTCGTTAGAAACTTAGCGCGTTTAGTACCTAAACTATCAGTTTTGATCCGTTTTAGTACATAAACTTTTAATTTGTTTGCAAAACTTTACATTAAATTTTGAATGTGGTACTAAAATGAAACAAAAAAACTAAAGTTTTTAACTGAGAGTTATTAAAATGAAACAAAAACTAAAATATAAGTATGGTTTTGAAAAAAATTTAAAAGTCTAGGTACTAAAATGGATCAAAATCGATAGTTTAGGTACTAAACACATAATTTACCCTATTTTTAATAAAGAATTATTTTGTTGAATTAAAAATAAAAATTATTTATAATAAATTAAGAGAAACAAACAATATTACATACACTGGCACAAGTTTATGATCTACTGGGCTGCTCCATATTTGTTTTCTCCGATCGAGCACTTGATCTTCTTCATCTTTTCAAACCCACAGTTGATCATAGTCTTTCAATGGAGGTTTACACATGAGACGGGCCTTAGACCATGCTTGAGAGCAGCTTCCCAGACAAGGTCGATTCTATCGACGTCGATTGCCCCAACTTCGTGGTGAGCCCAGCCTTCTAGCTGATGAACTACGCCTCCTGCATGGCACGTGTGCACCACTCCTCTCTCCATTGTATACTGCCCATGCATGAATTACCAACACATCAAAACAACTACAAAGAAATCCAACACCAATGGCATTGTTGTATGCATGCATACGTACCTCACAAGATCCGAGGCCTTGAACATCAGGTGGTAATCTCATGGCAGCCAGATCACCGTAGGTGCAGTCTCTTCTGAATGCCAAAATGGGTGGGACCACAAATTGATGAAAATGGGTCCCCGATGGAGCCCAGCTTTGTTCCCATGGTGTTATCCACTTGCCCACGATCCACGTCTGTTTATATTAATATTTAATTACAACAAATTTCAATCACCATTCATTGACTAAGCTATTATATATAATGCATATATACACTCATGCATGCATTCTCATCATACCTTACAATTTTGAGCAGCTTGCTACTTGGTGACCTGCACTAGGTATTGTTGGCAATCTGCAGGGGCCTCTTTTTGTATTTTCTGAAATCTTTCAGTTGATGAAGTCAACATCTACAAATTGTATGTATATGTTGAGGCCATAAGCATTTAATTTATAATCATCTTTTTACATGCAAAGTTAGGTGAAGGGACACTATCTCAATTTAAGGCACTGACAAGTACTAAACAAACTGAGCAATGTACCTAGAATTAAATTTGTATCCAACAATGTATACGTATCGATAATATCTTAAATGATCGTATGAACGAGTTAAACATTAAGTTACGGATTTATATCGAGCTCTACGATCATAGACTTACAAGAACCCGGACTCTTCTCCGACAGAGGTACAGAGCAGTTGCTCTACCGAGCTTGGAAGTGGCTCCCGTTAGAAACACTTCTTTAACATCCTTCCTAAATTCATTCAGAATAACTGCAGCTGTCAAGGTATTTCCATGAACCACTCTCACTTTGAGCTCCGGATGTTTGTCCACAAACAGTGTTCCTCCTCCATTCAGAGCCTCATTCTGCATGCACCCCAAGTTTCAAATATATTTTCTTACAATTAAACATAACAAGAAACGACCGTGCAGAAACGGATTCAGAATCAAACATTGGATAGTAAATCATTACTTTCTTATTCATTGATTACTATTTATTTTTTCACGCGTGATCATTGTTTCGTGCATTGCTGTCTATGATATTTCACCTGCTGTCTTGCGTGCATGATTTTCGTATAGTGGCGTGTGGTTTTCCATTTATGCTACAGTGTTTAGAGGTTGTACGTATATCAATTCTTTAAACTCATAAGTTTGTTGACAAACAACACAAACATGATGCATAAAACAAAAATTTAAATACTACATGTTTAACAACTAAATGTGTATCAATATATATAAATATAGGGATGGACGCAAAATTTTGTGTTAGGAAGCGAACTTGAACTTTTAAAATTTTAAGGGGTAAACTTAAACTTATAAAATTCCAGGGAGGTCAAAACATACTTTCAATATAAAATATATACAAAAATAAATTAAATGGAAAAGAAGAAGAAGAAGAAGAAAAATAGAATACACTGACCTTATTCAATGCAGCGAGGCTAATGACCTTGACCCCCATCCTATCAGCCCTTAGAATGGCCTCCTCTATGTGCTTGTTGATGCCCCTCGTTGCAAATGGTAAGAAATACTGCAAAATTTATATATGATTAATTAATTAATAATTTAAATTGACTGGTTTTAAATGAAGAAACTGATATATTGTGTGTTTAATCATATATCATCATTCGATTTATTAATGAAGAGATATTTGGATAACTTAATTATTGTATCAAAAGTAAATGAAGTTAATAGGTAAGTAACCAAATTAACCTGAAAACCGAACCTAGGAACGGCCCATGTTTGGTGCAATCTGCCTCTAAGATTGTAGAAACTGACGAGGAAGGTCTTAGACCAAGCCCACATTATTAGCATTATCGCAAACGTAAGTGGCCAAAACGGAAACAGAAACAACCTAATCGAAAACGGTGTCGATGCAAACGAACGTAACGCGAACGGGACATGCATTGCTGCCGTGATGTCCACCACATGTGCTAGGAACACAAAATCCGGTACTCTCCTTTTTTTCCTGTCACGTTCACGTAAATAAACCGTCATTATACACAAAATTTAATATTTAATGCACTAACGATTAAATTTACCTGAATCTGAAGCAATCTGGTTGTGTAGTAGCCATGAGTTGGTGTTAACTGTATTGCCTATTGCATCAAACAATGGCATGAAGAGACAGAAATTGGTCTCCATCTCTGTGTGGTGGAGGCTATGATACATGACAAAACATACATTGATTGCTAATTAATGGTGCCAACTAAGAAATGGTCCCCCTGTTTAAGAGATATCGACAAGGACTATAAGCTTCCATTTTAATTTCAGACCTATTTAGTTATGTAACATTAAAACCAACTTATTCAAAGAACCAATACCTCTAGGATTAATTCATAATTATCTATGAAATGATCTAACTCCTTTAATGTCCTTGTTTCTCAATATCAAACTTACTCTCCGGGGTAAAACTCTAAATCAGCTTTCCTTTTAAATTAATTGGGAATTTACTTACGTTGGGGTGTAGAGGAAATATCTAAGGAAAGGTAATTTGTTGAAAATTCCAGGGGGGATAACTTCAGCATTGGAGTGCCCAAGGCATCTGAGGAAATCAAAAGCCAAAACATAGGAATAAACCATGCTTATCGATCCGTAACCCGTCAGAATCGACCCCGTCATCGGAATTCCGATCACGACACATAACATGAGGTGCTCTAACGGTGTTGCATGTCCGGCTGCAACGAACAAAAAACTAGTTAATGAAGGAAGATAGTGAGATACATGTTGATTGGCTGCGACCTTTTTTACCTGTAAAAGGGGGGGAATGGAGATGAATGGTGAAGCGAATGATAATGGGTGAAAAGGTAAGTTCCATGGAAAAACCTATGTGCCCAATAATACAAAGGCTCTGAAACAGTGA